GTGTGTGTGTGTGTGTGTGGCGGAGGAGGAGCGCGGAGAACATGGCAGACGGAGCTGTTGTGGATGGAGAGAAACTCAGCAAAAAGTACCCACATTTATAGCATTACAGCGCTTAAACTGATTCTGTACGAAATAACACTCAAGATAAGTTTGCCTATGTGTATTATGTGGCTTATCGCGTCCGTCGTGATAAATGAGATTGGTCAGGAAAAATACATGCAGGGCAACGTGGTGAACAAGACTGACCGATTCATCGTGTGTAGCGTTCTCTTGCCAGCGTCCTTGAGAAGAATCAGTCTTTTGTATGTATGCAAATATGCAAAAGATCCAGGCGGTTGCACTGAAGTTGTCCAAATGATAACTTCATTGCCCATAATCGTGTTCGTTTAACGAGTCATTTCCGTGACCCTGTTCGTTTAGAAGAACCGTTCACAAATCAGATTGAGCGAGTATTGTACGTCGTGACTGCGTAGGCTTATCTTATTGTGGCTTTTCTGCCATTAGGCTGTTAAAGTAACTTATTTTCCCGGTGTTTTCTCGGTTCACTCTAAATGCTTTCACTTCTCATTACAAATCTGACGCAAGGTGAATGCAGAATACCTTGCGAGCGTAACAGTAACTAACTCTTTCAATTTCTGCAGTATCTTTATAGGCCTGTCGCCAGTGTTGGGGAAAGTTACTTTTAAAAGTAACGCATTACAATAATGCGTTACTCCCCCCCCCCCCAAAAAAAACAGTAACGACGTTACTTTTTATGGAAAGTAATGCGTTACGTTACTTTTGCGTTACTTTGTACATCTGGACAGGGCTTGCTTGTTGGGTTTTAAAATAAAAAAGTTATATTTTTGGCAAATATAAAAGCCTTTTCACACCAAAAGTGAAATGAATGAGCCTCAGGCTGAAGGGAAAGTACATTAACATCCGTACAGTAGAATGCAGAAGAAGACATTTCAACACTTCAGCAATAAAAAAACACACAGATGTTTGTCTAGAGTAATTTTTGATTATTAGCACGGTTGATCTGGATCATCGAAGCTCAGAAGCAAAGACATCGGTTAATAGAATGGGATTAAATACATAAAGCATATTTGTGTTGTTTGACATTTAATTATTGCAGGTTTGCGTCATATTCTGAGTTGCATTATTTTTATTCATTTGGAGGA